GAAGTTGAATGTGAAATGAGACCAAACATTATTTCAAAATTTGTTTCACATTTAATCCAACCTATGATCTGTAGCTGTACATCTAAAAAGAATAGAGAACAGTTGTTCAAACACTCTGTAGAAGCAAAGATATTGAATTCTATTTAGAAAATGAATATTCTTTAAAAATACACTAAGCCATATTTCCCCAAACTAAGTGTTGTAGTATGACCATGATGACACCCTAGATGTGTGTAGTGATTTTGGTGGTACTACAGTGTATAGTAAGAAAGTTATTGAATTTTATTGGCAATAAAAATTCTTTAAAAATAGACACAGGCACATTTCCCAAAACTAATTACTGTAATATGACCATGATGACACCCTACTGTATGTCACGCCCAGCTCCGTACGATCCTCGTGTGTGCCACGCCCCCTCGTTACCTAGTGTTAATTCCTGATTGTCATCACCTGTTGCCTATTCCTTTTGCCTTGTCTTGTGTATTTAGTCCGAGTCTCAGTCAGTCCCTATGACAAAATAATGAGACGCTTCTTGGAGTGGTAAACAGAACTGACTGGAATAGACAGGTGCGTGTAATATCCAAACATCACAGACGTCATTTCCCGAGTACAAAGGCATGGATTCGTATCTGACCGCGGTAGTGTCATTCTATTCTTCCCTTATGGCAATGACACCTGTCAGTGAATAAGGAGTACGTCATCAAAGTGCTGTACTCTTTTCTAAGGCGACAGTTGTCCCTCTTAAGTTATGTGTGTAATGAAGAAATTGTACAACACCCAAAGGTCTGCATAGGGTAACAAATACATACATGTACACATACAAGGGATAATGATTTATTATTATTATTTTTGGGTTTTATTCTTCTCTTTTTATTTTAGTATTTTTTTATTATTTCTCTTTTTTTTTTTTACTATACAGTTGAGGCAAAATTATTAGCCCTCCTATGAAAATCTAATTGTTTTAAAAGTATTTCTCAAGTGCTGTTAAACAGAGCAAATAATATTTATCATGGCTTTTTTTAGACATCTCAGTTTTATTTTGGATGCTTACATTATTTTACTTTTCATACAGAAATGAAAATATTCTACAGAAACCAAAAACTACCATGGTCAAAATTATTAGCTCTCTGAATATTAATAGTCAATTGTGTATCCTTTTTCTTGGATAACAGCCTGCAGTCGTTTGTTGTAGTTATCAACAAGTCTCTGACAGGTCATCTGAGGAATCCCAGCCTATTCTTCTTTGGCAAATCTCTCAAGCTCCTCCAGATTTGATGGCCTTCTGGCATGGACCTTCTTCTTTAGTTCACCCAACAGATTTTCTATTGGATTTAAGTCAAGGCTTTGTGCAGGCCACTCCATTACATTCACTTTGGTCTTCTGGAGATAGTTCTTCACCAGGGGCCTCATATATAAACAGTGCATCCGCACGAAAATGTTGCGTATGGCCATTTCCACGTTGACGTCGAGATGTATAAAAACGAAACTTGGCGTACCGCTACGCACATTCTCACGGCAGCTCCAGACATGGCGTACGCACATTTCTGCTCGGTTTTGTAAACGGACGACACTCAGTGGCAAGTCATTGCTACTGTGGTTTCCCTATTTAAACTTACAATCATGACGCTGATTTTATCAAATACACCGACA